CCAGTATCTTTGCCATGAAAACCCCAAATGGGGTCATGATGACTCAGACACGAATCAACAACAACAACAAATATAGATCAGTGATTTTATCTCCAAGGGAGCCAAAATTTCGATGAACTTACTGAAAATGGTAAATTGGAAGTCAAGAGAACTACATGCTATTGATGGTTCTGAAATTAACTGTGGGTCTCTGTTTTCTCCTATATCAAATAACAGTGTTGGGCAAAGCTCAGCCCTAGTAGTCTCAAACTATGAGATGTGGGCTTCATCTGACTCTCTCAGCCCGGCCACAAACTGACTGACTTAAATGTGCCTTTCTCCATAACTTTGGATATTACTTCCTCTCCTTTGAACCTCATTGTTCTCTTCTGTAAAATCAATAGTTGATTCTTAAGGTCCCTTTCAGTTCTGATATGATACATTATTATTATATTGTAAAATATCTCAACTCCTATTTCAGCCCGGCTTCTCTTCAAAATCTTCTATCTCTTTGTCTGCTGTAAGAGTAATCACTCCCTCTCCCAAAAATTCCCCCAACTCCTCTGGGCTTTTTGAATGCCAAGTGTGAAAGAAAAAATAACTGAACTTAGCAACTGGTTATCGAAAATAATTAGTTTAAATAGGAAGCTACTGAATGGCTGCATTCCTTGGGAGACAGGACGGTCCGTTTCCCTTCACATCAGCAGCCTCATAATATCTTGGAGTCTCTCTCTCTCTTCTGGAGGTGGCGGGTGGGGGTGTGTGTAACTGCATCTTCTTCCTCAGACTCCAGAAACTCAGGGTGCCTTTAGTTCTGCTTGCCCCAGGTACAAAAATTCCTAGTCACACCTCTGAATTGGAATCTCTTTGAATATATAGTTGGTAAGCTATTGTGATAAGTTTGTGCATGCAAAATGTTTTGTTCATTACTGTAAGTTTAAAGTCAGTGCCCAAAAGCCTTGTAGAAAGATACCCCTTCCCACTCACCCAACAGGCCATCTGCTTCTCCATCTGCTTCCCCATAATAATTATACATAATCTTTCCACCATTATCCACAAACCTCCAGTGCAACCAGTCTTCTTTGATTCTATTATCATTTCTCTAGCCTTCTGCCCATTCTTAAGTCCCCCAATAAGTTCTTAGAGCTTTTCCTTCAATATTAGTTCACTCATCCCCTTGAACCCAGTAGGTTTCAGCCTATCCCTTAAAATGAAGTTCAGGGCTCAGAAAACTGATGCCCACAGAGGTCAAGTGAATTGCCCAATGTCACACAGGAAGTCAGAATTAGAGGAATGATTTGAACTCTGTTCTTCTGACTTCAGAGTTGTACTCTTTCCACTGTACCATGCTTTGTTGTTGAGTCATTTTTCAGTCATGTCTGAATTTTTATGACACTATTTGGGGTTTTCTTGACAAGGTATTGAAGTGGTTTGCCATTTCTTTTTCTAGCTCATTTTACAGATGAGAAAACTGAGGCAGACAGGGTAAAGTGACTTGCCCAGGGTCATACAGCTAATAAGTGTCTGAGTCCAGACTAGAACTCAGGAAGATGAATCTTCCTGATTGTAGGCCCAATACTCTATCTACTATACCACCTACACACCTGATGTATCATGCAATCTTAGATATTTTAAAGTATATCTCTTAAAGTATTAGCTGAAGAAAATAAATCTTTTTATTCAGGTTAGGAATTCATAATGAATAGTTAATAATTTTGATACCTTTAGCTGTATTTCCTATGTAATCTGTGTTTTTTTTTAACCTAAAAACATTTATCATACAAAAGGAGATTTATGAAATGTTTTAGACTTTTATCTATATAGTATCTCCATTATTAAAGATAAAGGGTATCTGGTAATATGCATTTTAAAACATTTAATTGTACTATATTCTAAAATGGTGATTTTTCTTTATATAACTAACTTTTGCCTCCAATTTTTCTTCACATTTTATGCCTATATTTCTTATAATGGAAATAAAACACTTTTATACATGTGTATCCAAAGAAACTCCTTCTTTTCTGAGTACTCTCATCACTTTTAAGAAAATATTGCAGTCAAGCTTCTATTGGGGCAATCTACTGGGGAGCTCATCGGGAAGAGGAAGATGTGAAAGAAATGACAATATTAATAATACCTTCCTTTACCTTACAATGTATTAACACATAGTTTAAAGGAGACAAAGGTTAAGAATACTTTATGACATGACATTATGCATGGCAGCCAGCAGTTGCCTTGTATTTTAATGAGATCTTGTGAGCCTTATCCTTTTGGCCTTTCTCAAGTGGCTCATGATCATTTCCAAGAAAGAAGCAGGTGACAACCAAGTATTCATCATTGTATAAGAAGGTCTCTCTATCAAAGAAAAAGTCTAGCCTCATCACTAGAATATACATTATAGGAGGGCAAACATTACTCTGTTTTCTTACTGACTTATTAGTATCAAATTTGAGTCTATTGTCCTTTCCCCAAAAGCAAGCAGGAAGAAAACAAAATAAATATTCTTAAGAATATGTCCCGTAGGTATTAGTTAGCTTCTAAAAACAATAGAAAATGCACCCCATTTTCCCAATAAATGCCTCACACAGAACTTAAGTAAGTGCATTTTCACACTAGAATAACTGATTTTCAATATTATGGCTAGGAATGGCATAAGCATCTCTAACTGAAACTATATTTAAATCCAGGAAAGATTTTTTTTAGTGACTAGCTCTGAAGGATAGCATTAAAAAATTTGCATCCCTGTTTGAATATTATATTGCTTTCTTTACAAGGCCCATTTAAAGGCCATGAATGTTGGAGGTTTAACTACCCATGAGACTTGTCCTTTCTTTTTATTAAAGGTAACTTTCTAAGTTAATTTTATTAACGTAAAAATTACCTCTCATTATTAATAATTGCTTGGCATGGTGGAAAGAAAATCAGTCAGGCATGGATTCAAATCTTAGCTCTGACAAGCAATGACTTTGTGACCCCAGAGACCCTGATAAACTTTAGGTGGCATAGAGGTTCCCACTCTGCATTGCTAGAGGGAGTTTCTTCATCTGGGATTTTCCTATACCAATAAAATCAAAGAGACAGTTCTTATTCTTATAACATTAATTCAGAACATTTTAAACAAAGGATAAAGAAATCAGTGAAATGTGCAGAATGCTAAGCAATATTTTAGTTTAAATTTTCATTCCAAACAGTTAATTAATTGAAATAAACATGGTAGACAGAATTGTTGCTTTCTGGCATAGCCAACAACAATAAACAACTTATAGGGAAAACATAGAATATTTCTATCATAAAACCGTATTGTTGTTTGCCTTTTAAACTTAATTTTCTGCCACAAATAGCCCATGTTGTGCATATACCAAAGCATGTACAAATTTAGTGGAAGACAAGCTTGAAAATTGAGGAATTAAAAAAAAAACCTCACACAAAATCTTGAATTGCTTTTTTCCTGAGTGCTTTATGGTTTTTAATGACTTAAAGATAAAAATACTTTAATATAGGTGATAATTTATGCATAAAGTAGTCATCATAGACATTTTTAGTTCTAGGCCCCAGAAAGGTGCTCTATACCATGCCTTTCCTTGTGGACCCAGCATATACAAGGGAAATATACTATTTTCACTTGAGGAAAATGGAGAAATAGGGAATGCAGAGACATTAAAAAGTAAACAATATCCTATCAGCTTTCCTTACTGTCACTATAACTTTGCTACAGCAGATCTATCTTGCTCGATCCATAGTCTATGCCTCCTTTGAGAGTCTCAGTGCTTAGATGTAATCAAGGTAATAGGAGAGTGGATTTAGAACTAAAAGTAACATAGAGAATCATCATCCAATGACATCATTTGACAGATGAGGAAACTGAGGCCCAGAAAAGTTAAGTGACTTGGCCAAGGTCACACAGAAAGCTATAGGACTGAAACATGGGTCTACTAAGTCCAGATCCAGCATCCACTACATAAGGCTTACTTTAAGCCACAAAGTATAGCACTGTCACATACCAGTATGGTGTCTATTTGCAAGGTTGATTTGCTTCTCTTTAATACTGGAATATTTAAGAGGGTATTACATTCATCTTTACCCATTTTTACAAAATCTGACTGCTCCACAGTTAAATTTTGTCTCCCCTTCTATTTCATTAACTCACTAAGATCAGAGATTATATACAATGCAACTTTTATATCCCTCACATTTCCTACTTAGTAAACACATAATTGACTTGAAAATCAAAACACGTTTAGATGTTCATAATATCATAAAAACACTATCACTGAAGCCTTCAAGTACTCTATTCGGATGCAGAGAGCCCTCAGAGCAGGTTATTCCTAGTTATGTAGACATTATCACTAGGTCCCTAGAGCACTTTCTTCAGAATTGTCTCTTGTTCCTTTTATACATTACTAAATGTTAAAGAGATTTAATTAATTTAAGTGCTGTGTTTTTTTTCCCCTTTGTATAGTTTAAGTTACCAAAACGTATATGAATGCTAAGACGTTATTGTTGCATCCAGCCCCCAGTCAACTTTCTAGTGAGTAGAATGAATATAGCTATATGGAGGCTAGTTGTCTGAATTCACAAACCATTAAATTTATAATCGTGGAAAATCTGCTTCCTAACATTATAAGAGGATCTTTGTTTGATGATACATGTAATCTAGCAATATTATGCTTATTAACTCTTGATTATTAAGCTAAACATGTGCTTCATAGTACTACTCCCATTTGAAATCCATATTGAAGTGGAAGGTTTATTTTTTTAAAAAAATTAAATGATCCAGTTGTCTTTCTGAAAGGCAACATAATTTTTCCTATACATACAAGAGAATGAATTTTAAAAGCTCATAACAGAAAATATAACACGTTGTAAATATGACTCAACTTAATAAGGCAACATTTTTCTTATGTTAGATTTATGGACGCAGCAATTTAAGTTCAAAATGTTCTCAACACTTTAAAACTCTTGAGGAAAAAGAAAATAATATGGTAGAAGCAATAACACAAATAAAATTTCAAATTACTTACCTGTCTGTTACGTTCATCCATAATCCTCGTGATCTGAATCTTTTTTCTCCCCATAGTCCCCGTTTTTCTTCTCTCTCTCGTTCCTAAAATTATGTATTTTTTCCTTCTCTTTTCTTTCTCTTTCCTGTTTCCTCCAAACTTCCTTCTTCAGCACTTGCACTACTCAATTCACAGATCCCTGCATTCGTTCCTGCTAAATATGAAACACAGAAAAATTAAACATTACCATAAAATAAATAAAAAGCAAGCTAGCTTCGTAAAGTTATGTCTTATTTTTATCAATGAGATAATAGGGAATAGTACAAATAAAATAAATGAAAGTAAGTATTTATTAAAGTTCTATCATATGTGTAAAGTCATATTAACTATGAACAGTTTATTTTTATAATCAAAATTATCTCATAATTAATTTGATAAGTTATTAAGATTATGAAAACTATGCTTTAAAGCCTGGTATTTCAATAATATCTCTTCCAAAGTGTTTCTTAACGTTTTTATGGAATTAGGTGTCTCTTTTTTATTATTCACTATTAAAATATGACAAAGTACCTAAATCAGAGAGTTAATGAACCTTTCTATACCTGAGTATGCTAAGTAGGGCAGCTAATTCATTTCTGAAGAGAAAACAATCTTGTGTTTTGACAGCAGAGGTGATAACGTCCCTCGTTATGCAAATAGGATGGACCATTATTAAAGTGGTATTTGATATATGGAAATGTCAACTAGTTTAAATCTAAATCCTTTAATCTCATTTTTAAAAATCACATACACAAACACAAACCCCCATACAGCACTTCTATGAGAATACCAGAAAACACAATATGGGATAGATCAATGAATTAATGCTATGACTTTCCAAAATATGCTATACTGATACATATTTATATGTACCAATTATGCACTGGTACTTATGTTAAAAAAAAAACAACCCCTCTCTCTATTTGAGTACCAATGTTTGTTTTCACATTGAAGGCACTTTGCATCACATATGAAATCAATAAAAAAATGAAAGCAGTGGTCAGTAATAAAAGTTATGTGAATGGAAATACTGGTGCATTTGTAGTTTAATTTATATGTTCACAAAATCATGAACCTATTGGTTGAAGAGGCCAAAAGAGTACATGGCAACAATAACTTTATAAATGATTACTTATAGAAGCTTGCTAAATCCTTCTTTAGAAAAAAAAAAGTTAGAAGAAAAAAATAATAATATAATAAACCCAAGAAAATAGAACTTTATAAATCTGCATATTCCTTTGTATCTTTAATGCTTTTTCTTAAGTTTTTATTTGAGAAAACCAAGGCTCCACAAAATATAAAAGCAAACAAAGAAAAAAAGCCTCTCATACCAGGCTCCTTATGTAGAAACAATAAATTTCCTAATTCTATCTATTTTCATATGGAATATTTAACTATTTTACACATGGCTTGGAATTTCCCTGTTTATTTTTACTTGCTGTTCTGACAACCAAGCTGATAAATTCCTGCAATATGTTATGTAACATTAAGCCAATGTCCTGGCTATTTAATCTATTATTTGGCTCCAATTCAAAATTATTGGAGCAGAAAAGCTGTTACACACTTATTCTGATATTGTTACCTTTTGATTCCTTTGCATTAACTGTTAAATACTTTATCACCTTGAATAAATGTTTAAAAATTTAGTTTTTTTATGATCAGCTAATTGCAATAGCTATTATGATATAATTAGTTCTAGTGGATTAAACAGTGCTCAGACACTAAGAATATATATTCCCTTTTGCCAAATGCCTTTGTAGAAAATCCATGCTTGATTTTGGCTCAGAGTATTTATAGGTTGAGTAGCATCAAGACCATGATATAATAAACAAAAACTATTACTACAGCCATTTCTTTAGGAACTAGAAATGGTTCAAAAGTTTTTATGATATACAAATAACATATATTGACACAGTCATAACTAACAATATCTTCCAACATTTGCTGTTAAAAGTATTAAACTATACATTAAAACATGAAAACTTGCAAAACATAATTGTATCACAAATCACTGTTGCCAAACAATATCCATCTATTTTTAGAAAGTATTAAATATCAGTCAACTGCATTGCTTTCCTGTGTTTCCTAAAGTCTTACCTTAAATACAAACAGCAAGTTAGAACAGTATTTCCCAAACACATGCAAGAACCAAAAGAAACTAACAGGCTTTCCAACACACGAATCCACAGCAAATGCACATACAACAATTTCCCTTCCTTTCATTCAACTGAAGCCAGTGGCTCTATCGGCTTATAGCACTACGCCTGTCTAAGCTCTTTTTCACTTCAAGGTGGAAGGTCAGGGTGGACAGATTAGAGTAGTGGTGACAGGGTTAGTGAGAATGAGAGCTCCTTTACAGATGAAGATTTTGAACTGAATGAAGAGAGAAGCATCAGGGCTCTGAAAGTCTTCCAAGAGTAGCATAGGCAGCTCTTGATGAACTCAAGTTATGAAGAGCCCCTCCCATATCGACCATATGTTTCACACCAATATTTTAAACAGGAGACATTTTTCAAACAGCCTAGAAGAAGGGATCTTTTTTCAAATTGGACCATTATTACTATTTTAAAAGATATATTTCAAAATACATTGCTAGGTGAAAATATTATTTGAGATAATTTCTTCATCAAAATGTGTTGTATATTATTTGTAGGTAGCTCTAGGAGAAATAAGTTTAACTTTCAAGAAATGAAACTGTCATTTTTCCCTCTATTAAAAAATGTATATTTCCTGAAACAAAATATATGTACAGTTTCCTTTTGTATTCTCTTTCTGGTATCTACTTAAAGCTTATTTTGAAATTTCTTTAATGCAATTATGTGTATAAGTGATAATGTGGCAAAGAGGATATAACCAGTAGCTATCCAGACCCAGTAAAATGTGTCCGTTCTCAAGTGTGTGGTTTAGAACATCTGATTCATGGGTCACCACATTCCAGGGTTGTCAGTGAGAATGTTATGAATTAGAAAGGTCAACAATTGCCCACCACCTGTTTTAGTTACACAACTACTTCTCTGACTCTAAGCTTTATGTTTAGACTAATGTAAGGATATAATTTCAAACGTATTGAAATGGACAGGAACAGGACAGATGACTACATTGCTTCTTCAATCTGCATAACTTTTGAAAGTTTATATAAAAATAAAGGCTTTCAGGATTGCCAACCGTAATTGAATTTCCTACTAGCCTAGAAGTTCTATGAATAATCTGTAAAAAGATTAAAATAATTTCAGAAGCTTTGCTGAAATAACTCTCCACATGTAAGACATTCTTGGATAATAACATAATTGTAGCTATACAATCAAATAATAATTAAAAAATTCAACACAACTCTATCATCCTTACTCCTATAGAGTCTTCAGCATGTTTTTATTTTTCCATACTCAAATATAAGAAAAAATAAAATCAGACTGCTTACTAAAAAGAGGAACTTCACTATGTCAGGCTTCTGTTCACTATATGATTTGTCATAAGCAAATAGATGAAGGAAGAATGATTTGAAACTCAAGCAGAGAAAAGTTGTGGACAGATGCTACAGATTATTTACCCACCTCCTTTCTTTCATATACACTCAAGCACATGCTCTCTGTTTCTCTCTCCCTCCTGCCTTCCTTCTCTCTCTCTGTGTGTCTCTTTCTTCTTTTCTCTCTCTGTCTCTGCTTCTTGTGCCCTTCCTCTCTTTTCTCCCTTTCTACTCCTCCTTTCCTCTTTCCTTCTCTCTCTCTCTCTCTCTCTCTCTCTCTCTCTCTCTCTCTCTCTCTCTCTCTTTCTCTCTCCTTCCCCCCTCCTCTTTCCCTCCCTCCCTCCCTCCCTCCTTATCCCTCCCTGTAACATAGAAGAATCTTGACAGAATAGCAGGAAACACGCACAGAGTGGTCAGGGAAGGATATGATGTCAGCAACCACGAACAATAAAAGGTGTAAAGGTGCTTCCTTCCCTAAACTGTTCCAGAAGTGTAAAATGGGAACCAAAACTCTCCACTTCCTTCTCTGAACAGAACTGTCCGATTCTGGTGTGCTGCAACACCCCACACAGAGAGAAGCTTTTGAACGTTTCAGATAAGGGATACTAAGGAATAGTAAAGTAGGTTTTAACCACTATTAAAAAACGATAAAAATCTAGTTCAATATCACTTTAATGAAATTTTAATGATTGCATTAAAAAATGTGAAAATACAAACAAAATAAAACTTTTAACTCTGGTGTGGTTATATATTTCCTTACTGTGACAATTAACCATTGCAGAATAATGTTTTCACAAAAACATGTTTTATTTATGTTCAATGGGTAAACTACTTTCTTTTGCGAAAAAAGAAAAAAGGGCAAATCACAAAATCTTTCATAACCCTCCCCCAAGTTTAATGATATTTACTGACAAAATGTATGTTTCAAAATAAATATTTTAAAAGATACACTGATTTAAAAAAAATTAAAGCCCCCTCAAAGTCTACTAATTAATTCAGAATCAGATAAAAAGATAATTGATAGAATTCTGGGTGCATGTAAAAACTACATTTCTTTTTCTCACTACTGCTGTGATATTTCTAACATGAAAATGGTACAACCTACTGTAACATTTCTGTAGGAAGAAATCCACATATCAAATGAATGAGTCATCTTCAGATTTCAATCATCTGCCCACAGAACTTTGATTTAGAAATTAAACAAACCATTCATGTATATGTTTTGCTATTAAAATACGACTGTCACATCAAAAATGTGGGAAGACATTAATTCAATTCTACTAAATTTATCTGAGCAAAGCATAGATTCTGTTACAATAGTCATCATGTAGGCACTTTAACTAAAACAGAGCATATGCATAAAGATAAGACATTCAAATGTATCATGTCTATATGCAAACGAGAAATTTGAATTGCTTTTTCTCATGTTAGTTAATAATGCTTTCATTGACATACACTCTCAACAAACACTACAAAAACTCTCCTGCTATCAACAAACCATCATAACAAGACTAACAAATACAAAGAAAGGCAAACTAAACATTTGTGAAGTGAAAAAATGGTCATGAGCTCACCAGCTGCAGCACTGTTTGTATGACTGATTCACACACTTAAATGACTCATTGTCATTTCAAGTAGAAAACTTCACTCATGTTGGTGAGCCTCAATGCATTACTTTGGCTACATTACTCTAGGTTTGAAACACATACCGT